ATAATTTGGATATTAGGAAAAACTCTCTCATTAGGATGCTGGCGAATCACTGGAACAGGTTACCTAGAAAGGTGATGGAATCTCCATCCTTGGAGGTGTTTATGACCCGGCTAGACAAAGCCCTGGCTGGGATGATCTAGTTGGGGAGGGTCCTGCTTTGAGCAGAGCGTTAGACAAGATGACCTCCTGACATCCCTTCCAACCCTAATTTTCTATGATTCAATGATTCTATATATTCAAGAACCTAATTCTCTAATCAGTCCTGACTCATTTCCAAGAAGTGTCCATCCCCTCTTCACCTAAGAAATCAGGACTCCCATTGAAAAAAAAGAATATGTAATCATGTAATTAAAGACTGCATCACTCAAAAGGAATGAGAGTTCTAATACTTTAAGAACACTTCAAAAACATTTAAAATAGTTCTACTTTTCATTAAAAAAATACATAGTTAATTTCTGCTTCTTCAGGTTCTCCCAGAGATACAGGAATGGACTATATTGGAAAGCAGGGAACTCCCCTTTATTCACCCAGAATTCAGCCACATAAAACCAGAAGATACAGGGATATGAGCCTGTCGTCAGTTAAGGACTGCATTCTGTCCTCCTTGGCTGTAGGGTAGTGCAATTCTGGAGAATTATTCAGTTGGGCCAAAGGTAGGAACAATGTTGTCAGAATGGTTTAAAAATACTCCAGAGCCCTAGTTCAGGCAATAGTCACCTCCTTGTAGAAACATGGAAGCACCCTCAAAAAATAATAAAGAATTGCGGGGAAGGAGGAAAATGTAGCCCCACCCCTCCTCCCAAGACTGTCAAGACCCAGAATTTGGCAGAGGTTAACCCTTTCCTCCCTAGAGGCACTGGGACCCACAAGACACCCTTGTTCCCTGAGCCACATGATCTAGGTCACAAGAAATATTTCAGAGAGGAGCCTGACCCTCTGGGCAACAGAAATCTCTAGCTGGCTGAGTAGATAAAGAACCAGCAAGGACAGGTGCTGCTGCACAGATTGGAGAAAACCAATGATGCTACTGGATGCTTTCCCAGAGTTCAGTGTGGACATTGTTATATACTGTGACACACACACACACACACACACACACACACACACACACACACACAC